AGTAAGTTCATCATTCCTAGAGTTTGTTTTTAAAGTTATCTGCTATGCAAATTCATTCTCATGAATCCATCCACATGTTTACATGTTTTAAAGATTTTTCTAAAATAAAAATATCAGGCAAGGAAAGTGTCTGTATGTATTAATAAAATGTGCCTGTGACGTAAGGTTTAGTAGAAGACAACAGGCAAAAACGTGATAGACTAATATGCTAAAGACGATTACCTGTGAGTGGCTACTGTTACTAAAAATATGTTTTTACTATGGAAATGACTTGCAAAGCATATTTTAAAAATTAGAGCATGTATATCAACATACTGAAAAAATACAACAAATGAGTAACAGGAACAGCCTATAACTGCAATACTTTTGCAAAAGAAAAATTTTTTAAAAGGGTTATTATAAAAAATATGGAAAACTAACTTCTTAGACTCACCAAAACAAATGTTTTTAAGGAGGAATTCAAAAACCACCACCACCAAAAAGAAGTACGTCTTCTAAAATGTGTGCAATGGTTACCAAATGAAAATTCAGGAGGGCAGGGATTCTTGATTGTATTTTATTCCTATATTCCTAGTGCTCAGAACAGTTCATGGCACATAGTAGGTGTTTGATAAATGCTTGTTGAATAAGTGAGAGACTGAATATGTGGAGGAGAAGCACAGATAATTTCAACCTGGCCCTCTGGTCTCTCCAGGTGAGGAATGGGTTCTTCCTGACTCCACGTTGCTGGAATGTTTGACCTCTCCTCTACTAGGTAGAACACTCCCTTGAGACTCTCTCTTCAGGTTAGAGAGAATAAAGAATTGCTAATAAGCAAATCCATTTTATGCCCTCCTCCAAAAAAATTCTTTATTTCACAAGTTTAAGAAACTACTTTGTCATAAAGGCGTTCATGATTTCACAACATGATCTGCCTGCCATGGGCCCTCACTTTCTCTGAACCAACCTAACACTCCTCTTACTCTCTCAGATCCAAGCACACTGCCCTCTGAGTTACTCCATAAACTCTGCATGGAATGCATCTCCCAGCTGTCTGCCAGCCTCCCTCAGACATTTTCTCTCATTTCTTGCAGGCTTCTGCTCAAATGTCACTTTTTTTTTTTTTTTTTTTTTGAGACGGAGTTTTGCTCTTGTTACCCAGGCTGGAATGCAATGGCGTGATATCGGCTCACTGCAACCTCCGCCTCCTGGGTTCAGGCAATTCTCCTGCCTCAGTCTCCTGAGTAGCTGGGATTACAGGCACGCGCCACCATGCCCAGCTAATTTTTTGTATTTTTAGTAGAGACGGGGTTTCTTTTTTTTCTTTTCTTTTACCCCCAGCATAATAAATTTGAAGGGGGTCCCATAAATAAAGCAATGATGCCATCATTTCCCAGCAGTTACATTTGATAAAAAAAATTCTACTGCTAAAGTAAATTGATAGGACCATTAATTTTTTTTCTAAAAATTCACAATTCTGGGTTGGATGTGGTTGCTCAGTAATCCTAACACTTTGGGGGGCCAAGACAGGGAGAACTGCTTGAGGCCAGGAGTTCAAGACTGGCCTGGTCAACATAGCAAGACCCTATTTCTTAGAAAAAAATAATAATTCACAATTCTGGTAATAATTGTGCTTTCATAATACTGGAATTTAACTGAGATCATTTTTTTTTTCCTGTTTGTCTTGACATCCTTGTTTTTTGTTCTTTTTTGTTGTTTGTTTGTTTTTAATGGATTGGAGGTTTCAGTGGGACGGGAGAATCACAAGGAATCAGGTGTTCAGAGGAATGTAATGAGTAGAGGTGAGAAACTAGGATGTTGAAAAGTAAAAAAAGGAGAGAAAAAGAGGAAGAAAAAGAGGGAGAGAGAACAGGAATATTGCTTCATTCTAAAAACGGGTATTAATAAGACGGGGTTTCACCATGTCGACCAGGATGGTCTCGATCTGTTGACCTCGTGATCCACCCGCCTTGGCCTCCCAAAGTGCTGGGATTACAGGCTTGAGCCACCGCGCCTGGCCCCTCAAATGTCACTTTCACAGAGAAGCCCTCTCTGACCAGGCTAAATAGCAAAGCCAGCTTCACACTCAACTTCTGGCATTCTTTCTTGTCCTGGCCTGCATTATTATTCATGGATATGCTTTGTCCATGCCTACTACACAGTAAGTGCTCAATAAATATTTCTTGAGCGCATAAACAAACAAGAACACAGTCATATTTCATGTGCCACTTCAGGTAGGCAATATAAGAGATGGAAAAGGTTTGGCCTTTGGAATCCCATTTCCAACTATTCACTATGTGCCTCACCTGGAGACCACCTCCCTGACTGTCAGAATTTTCATATCAAGTGGGAATAATAACACTTATCCAGCATGTACTTGGCACCCACCAAAGGTTAGTTCCACTCCCTCCTTTCTCCCTGGTTCCTTTTTGTGGCTGTGAGCTAATGTAACACTGTCATTATGAAACAACGGGACTGCAGGTTCTGAGGTGGCTGCACAATGAGTGTGCTGAGCAAGACAAGAATGCTGAGCAGGCCCTGGGGCAGTAGAATTCATAATGACAACTTACATTGATTGTGCTTCTGTTTGACAACTGACAAGGCATGAAAAGGACAACCTTCTTTCCTAAAGGTGCCATCATCTGGCTGGGAAAAGAGGGTTCTAGAACTGGCCTTGAAGCATGACTAAGTTTCAGAACAGTGGTGATTCTGAGAAGCATTTCAAAGAGGAAACTAAGCCAATTGGGAGGGTGGCTATAGCAGGGGCTTCCTTTGGAAACACATTAGAAGCAGCATGGACAGGAAGGGTGATGTCAGATTATGGAAGACCCCGCATGCCAGACTGAAGGCTAGGTCTAATCCTGTAATTTATGGAGCACCACTAACATTTTTGAATACTGGAAAAACATAGAAAAATACAATGAAAATGACAAATTTTAAAGAACCCACAGACTCTTCTCAAAGCTAAGCACTAAGGAGTACTAATGATTCCAGAGCTGTTTATTTATAAAAATAAATGATAAGCTTAGAAACTGAAATGAATCAATATTCTAATTCTAATTTTCCAAGGTCATCACTATTTGAACCACCACGACGGAGAAGAGACATGTGCTAGAAGAGACTTGGAGAACTGCAACCTATAAGAAAGTACCAAAAAATGTCAGCACACTAGCAGAAAAGAGCACAAACGTAGCCTCCAAGCAGCCAAGGGACCTATCTGTGGTTTGTGTTTTAAGAGCAGTACCAATGATTATGTGACCTCCTTATAAAGTTTCCTCTCCTAGGACTATACCCCGTTTCTCCCTTACATGTTGATTCCTTACTTATTTTTCAGTTTGAATAAATGTATAACAATCTTATGGATACCAAAATGCTGAAACTTCTGTGTATAAAAGAATAGAAAGAAGGTTGCAGATTATTTCATTATCTCCCCCTCATTATTTCATTATTTCCCCCTCGAAGGGGGAAAATGGAAATGAGTATGTTACAGATGCTACTAAAAGTCATTCCACAGTTGAATTCTATAAAAGAATTTAGTAAGGAATGAAAGTTTTAACACATAGGAAACCTACCCTGCCTGGGTATCATATTTTTCTTGGGATCTCTTCTCACAGCATGGACATGGTTTATTCAGATTATCAAAGAGCTTCTGATAAGGTTCTCACAAGTGTCTATTATTGAAACTTGGTAAACATGGTGTGAAAGGAAAAGTTTTATCAATTAATTAAATGAATTTCAATGCTTAAGAGGCAAAGAGGCAAAAAGCAGAAATAAATGGGCAATTCTCATGTGGAGAAAGGTTAATCATTGAGGGCTCTGAGGCTTTGCAGTAGAATCAGAGTTATATTTAACTAGACCAGGAAAGGGCACCCAGCTCTCCTTTGCCGATTCTGTGTCTATCAGTCCAACACACATAGCCCCTATTGATGTGAAAAGCATTTGGCACATGGACAAGATACAGGCAATATTTAAAATTACAAAAGTGTTTAAAGTTACAAAAGTATTTAAAATCCAGGAAAGAGAAAATAGATAAATGTTGACTCAGATATTCCTGCAGACATTCCCAAATACAAACACACCGAAATAAAAACAACAATAGCAGAATTTTAGTTCTTATAACTTTGATGTGTACTACATAGAAACACATGGGCCTTTTCAAAAGACTAGATATGGTATTTGAACAAAATTACCTAATTTATTGGCATGATGACAGCAAATTTTCAATATAAAGGAAAAGTTAATGTGGGCATTTAGATCCACAAAAGCCACAAAGCCTATTTATAAATATTGAGAAGACATGTAAAGGCAAACAAACAGTGAAAGTGGCATGAAACAGTAAGAATAATTACTTTTTTTCAGATAAATGTGAAAAAGATGGTACAGGTATTAAAAAGAATAACCTGACATTATTGGAAAAATTTGGAAATTAAATAATCTACTTAATTAACATTAATCTTTTATGACCTATAACTCAATGTGGCATTTGCAGTGATCCAGAAATAACATCATGATTCACAGGAATGGCTCAGAAATGCAAACCAGCTCTTGATTTCGCCTCTTTGCCTTGCTTTCCTTAATGTAAAATGGAAATAACAGAACTTACTTCACAGGATGGGTATGAGGATTAAATTAGATAATGTATCTAAAGGATTTAACACAGTGAAAATCTGAAATAATGTTAAATTATTACTGTTATTGGTGGTGGTGTTGTATTTATGATATACTAAACCCAAACAGCTATAAGACACAAGGAAACAACCTAATTCAAGTCATGGTGACTTTCTTATGTATATCATTGTTATGACTCAGTATGTCACAAATCATATAAAATATGTTCAAGTGCCTCTAAACAAACAAACAAAATACCCACAGCTTTAAAATCTCTCCACTAGCCAGTTTTGTAAAATGGAAGAGAATTACAAATTGATCTCAAATAAGCCAAAAATAAAACTACCAGAACACCAGATAAACGCTTATCACATACTAATTCTTAAATGGATGAATACAAGATTCAAACTTACCTTTCAGATAATATTTTAATAAGCTCTTTTCTATTCTGTACCCGAAGGTGGTTAGTTTTATACTTGGAGTCATCAATCAGCTCAGGCAAATCCAAGATCTAAAAGGGAAACACAATTTTCAAGTATAAGACATAAGTTGTTCTTGTACCTGCCTGTAGGTGCTAGTTTTCAGGTCCTGTCTCTCCCTTCTCAAGAACATTCCTTGCTAGTCTTTATGCTTCTCAACAAGGACATGTAGAGGAAACAAACACACAATTAGGATGGATCATGCTGGTGAAAGGGTTTGTCACTCTAAGAGGCTTTTTCCACATTTAAGCAAATATTCTTACACATAGGAGAGCAGCAAAAGAACCCCATCAGTCTTATGCTAAATATGAGAACATAGGAAACATGTTATCTGATCCCCGCAGAAAAAGCCTTGTTTGGAGGAAATAGGGAGAGAGATGCTAACTTGGGTAAAATGGACCAAATTCGAAAAACCAATATCATAAGTGCATGTCTGCATGCCTCTTATACACAGCCAACGTGTACCTTGTAGATATATTCACTTACTTATTCCACATATAAATAAAATACTGTGATCTTCCAGGTTGTCCTATGCAGAATGTTCTATAAGGTGCTAAAATAAAGTAAAACCAAACACATTTGCCCAAATTCTCATCATTTAAACAATAGTAAATTAAAAGATTTTCTTCCTATAGAAGCATGACTATTTTTTATTAATGTATCTACCTGAGGTAATACCAACTAGAAATGCTTTTATAGACTTCCTCTTTTGCTCCTCCTCAATAAAAGGGAAAATCTATCTTGCAAGTTCCTTTGGACACCGTTCAACATTAACAAGACCATAATGAAAGTACCAAGTGGATTTGGAATGAAAAAGTTTTAAAAGACTGTGTAGAGGCAGTGCTTGGCAGTTGCATTGGAAAGTCAGAAGGAGCATTTACAGCCTGGGGTCAGGCCACGCAGCCTACAAAAAGCTTCATTGCCTTTATTAATGTATTTTCTTTCAATATAAATATCTAATGGTTTCATTTATTTCCCAAAGTTTAAACAAAATCAATCTATTAATCATCTTACAAAGGAGAGAGAAGTGAAGAAGATTCCCCAGAGTAAAGAGACCATCTCAGTGGTGTAATTTCTCTTTCACATGTTCCACTTATACAATTCCTTTAGGAATAATAAAGACAGCATTATTCTCCCAGATTTTAAAAAGCAATAGCACTTACAGCACCCTTTCTAGAAACCTCCCTCTCATAACACCTGATCCAAGAATTGGCCTCATGCCTTGTCCAGCATTTAGACACCCTCTCTCCCTAGGAGTGAATAAGTCATTTCAAGAAAAAAAACAATGTCATCAATAAGTCACAAGTTAAATTTATAAACTTGGCCTCACCTAAAAAGCGCCAACAGCAACAAAAAGTTACACAGTGACCACACTCAAGGGTAACTGAAATGCCCGTGTGTCCTCTGTATTGGACTTATTGGACCTCTTTTTTGTTTCAAAGATGGTGTGAAATTGTTGGCCAAAGTAATTATCCTTCCATCTTCAGCTGTGGCAGCTAACATTCCAAATGTTTCTAGAGAGACAGCTTCAAGGACTGTGGTCGTAACTATTACTTTGGAACCTAAAAAAGAGTGCTTCCTGGGATAAAACAAAACAATGTAGATGAAAGTGCTTGACTGTTTACATTAGCAAAGACCTGGAACCAACCCAAATGCCCGTCGATGATAGACTGGATTGGGAAAATGTGGCACATATACACCACGGAATATTATGCAGCAATCAGAAATGATGAGTTCGTATCGTTTGTAGGGACATGGATGAATCTGGAGAACATTATTCTCAGCAAACTGACACAAGAACAGAAAATGAAACACCGCATATTCTCACTCATAGGTGGGTGATGAAAAATGAGAACACATGGACACAGGGAAGGGAGTACCAAACACTGGGGTCTACTGGGGAGAAGAGGGGAGGGACAGCTTGGCGGGGGGAGCTGGGGAGGGATAGCCTGGGGAGAAATGCCAAATGAGGGTGAAGGGGAGGAAGGAAGCAAAACACACTGCCATGTGTGTACCTATGCAAATGTCTTGCATGTTCTGCACATGTACCCCAAAACCTAAAATGCAATAAAAAAAAATTAAAAAAGAAAAGAAAAGAAAGTGCTTGACATATTAAGCACTAAATAATTGTGAAGTATTCCAACTATGTACTGCTTCCCCCAGAAGAAATGTTTTGTTTTGGTTTAGTTTGGTTTTTGAGATGGAGTCTCACTTTGTTGCCCAGGCTGGAATGCAGTGGCACGATCTCAGCTGACTGCAACTTCCGCCTCCCGGGTTCAATCAATTCTCCTGCTTCAACCTCCTGAATAACTGGGACTACAGGCATGTGTGCACCACCATATCTGGCTAATTTTTTTGTATTTTTAGTAGGGGGGGGTTTCACCATGTTGGTCAGGCTAGTCTCGAACTCCTGACCTCAAATGATCTACCCACCTCAGCCTCCCAAAGTGCTGGGATTACAGGCATGAGCCACTGAGCCTGGCCAGAAAGTTTTCAAAAACATATATGGGTTCAAAAAAGAAAGGAGGCAGGGCTCTACAAAAAAAATAAAGAGACATTGGCAAAAATGGAAAAAAAAGAAAATAAAAAAATGCCATTAAACGGAGTGGCACACATTTTCTAAAAAGAGGAAAAGAGAAAAACAAATGAAGATCCATGATAACAAAAATTGTCAGTGTTTTAACATGCCTATCATCTAATGTTCCCCTTACAGCAAAAACCAAAATCCTTAAGATAGCCTGAAAGGTTCTACACAATATGGCACTATCACCTCTCTAACATCACCTCTTACCATGCTCTCCTCCCTGGCTCTTGGCTGCAACCATTTCATCTTCTTGCTGGACCAGGAACATGTCTATTTCACTTCAGCCTCAGGAGTTTAAAAATAGCTATTCTTTTCCTTAGAACATCTTCCACCAGACATCTAGTTGGCTAGCTCCTCCTTTCCTTCATTGAGTCTGCTCAAATTCATCTTTTATATATATATATATTTTTTGCATTTTAGGTTTTGGGGAACATGAAGAACATGCAGGATTGTTGCTAGGTACATACATGGCAATGTGGTTTGCTGCCTTCCTCCCCATCACCTATATCTGACATTTCTCCACGTGTCATCCCTCCCCAACTCCCCACCCCCCACTGTCCCTCCCCTAGTTCCCCCCGACAGACCCCAGTATGTGATGCTCCCCTCCCTGTGTCCATGTGTTCTCATTGTTCAACACCTGCCTATGAGTGAGAACATGCGGTGTTTCATTTTCTGTTCTTGTGTCAGTTTGCTGAAAATGATGGTTTCCAGGTTCATCCATGTCCCTACAAAGGACACGAACTCATCGTTTTTTTATGGCTGCATAATATTCCATGGTGTATATGTGCCACATTTTCCCTGTCCAGTCTATCATCAATGGGCATTTGGGTTGGTTCCAAGTCTTTGCTATTGTAAACAGTGCTGCAATAAACATTCGTGTCCATGTGTCCTTATAATACAATGATTTATAGTCCTTTGAATATATACCCAATAATAGGATTGCTGGGTCAAACCGAACTTCTATTTCTAGGTCCTTGAGGAATCGCCACACTCTTCCACAATGGTTGAACTAATTTATACTCCCACCAGCAGTGTAAAAGTGTTCCTATTTCTCCATATCCTCTACAGCATCTGTTGTCTCCAGATTTTTTAATGATCGCCATTCTAACTGGCATGAGATGGTATCTCAATGTAGTTTTGATTTGCATTTCTCTAATGACCAGTGATGATGAGCATTTTTTCATATGTTTGTTGGCCTCATATATGTCTTCTTTTGTAAAGTGTCTGTTCATATCCTTTGTCCACTTTTGAATGGGCTTGTTTGTTTTTTTCTTGTAAATCTGTTTTAGTTCTTTGTAGATTCTGGGTATTAGCCCTTTGTCAGATGAGTAGATTGAAAAAAAATTTTCCCATTCTGTTGGTTGCTGATTCACTCTAATGATTGTTTCTTTTGCTGTGCAGGAGCTCTGGAGTTTAATTAGGTCCCACTCTTGGGCTTTTGTTGCCAATGCTTTTGGTGTTGTGGTCATGAAGTCCTTGCCTATGCCTATGTCCTGAATGGTTTTGCCTAGGTTTTCTTCTAGGGTTTTTATGGTATTAGGTCTTATGTTTAAGTCTTTAATCCATCTAGAGTTAATTTTAGTGTAAGGTGTTGGAAGGGGTCCAGTTTCTGCTTTCTGCACATGGCTAGCCAGTTTTCCCAACACCATTTATTAAATAGGGAATCATTTCCCCATTTCTTGTTTTTGTGAGGTTTGTCAAAGATCAGACAGTTGTAGATGTGTGGCGGTGCCTCCAAAGCCTCTGTTCTGTTCCATTGGTCTCTATCTCTGTTTTGGTACCAGTACCATGCTGTTTTGATTACTGTAGACTTGCAGTATAGTTTGAAGTCATGTACTGTGATGCCTGCAGCTTTGTTGTTTTTGCTTAGAATTGACTTGGCACTACGGGCTCTCTTTTGGTTCCATATGAAGTTTTAGGTGTTTTTTTCCAGTTCTGTGAAGAAGGTCATTGGTAGCTTGATAGGGATAGCATTGAATCTGTAAATTTCTTTGGGCAGTATGGCCATTTTCATGATATTGATTCTTCCTAACCATGAGCATGGAATGTTTCTCCAACTGTTTGTGTCCTCTCTTATTTTGTTGAGCAGTGGTTTGTAGTTCTCCTTGAAGAGGTTGACTGGATAAACAATGAAATGAAGGCAGAAATAAAGATGTTCTTTGAAACCAATGAGAACGAAGATATAACATACCAGAATCTCTGGGACACATTTAAAGCAGTGTCTAGAGGAAAATATAGAGCAATAAAGGCCCACAGGAGAAGCAAGTAAAGATCTAACATTGAACTTCTTAATGCAACTACCCTGATTACCCTATCCCCACCACAAACCAACCCACCCCACACAACACTGAGTCCCCTGATTCCCTCTTCCCTTGCCAATTTTTCCCATAATATTTATCACCTAACATACTTATTATGTTTATTATTTCTTATCTGCCTGCCCTGCTA